CATTGGATGGGAGAAGGGGGGATAAGCCTTACAAAATCATGATGGCACGTTTTATTTTGCAAGAGATTGTATTTCAACAATAAATTTGCGCATATACTATGTCAAGTACTGTAGGTGTGGAAAGTTATGACGCTGGACAAAGGACAGCGTTTAAGATATTAGAACTATCAAACTGTCAAGTACCTTCACGTTGTATATAATTATATCGACAATGTATATCTTGACAATAAAACGCGTACAATATAATATGAATTATACGGATTGGTAATTAAAAAATAATATTCGTCTATAGTAATTGATATGGCTGGGCGTATTTGATAAACAAACCAAAGCGGTATAAAACACGCCGATGAATTACCCAAATTATATATATTTATATATACTTAATAACTATTTGTGCATGAAATATTAACGTGCAATGCACTGTATATACCATCTCGGTGACTGTGACTGTGTCAAGTATAAAGTATAATTGTTCAGACAGCCCATGAACCCACCCCGAAATGCACGATTCTGAATAATTAACGCATCACCGGAACGGGTCACCGGTCTAAAACAAGTGCCAAAACAACTCAAGAGAGTACGCTGGCCACACATTAAATACATAAGATCTCAGGTTTGCACCGTGGTACCATGGTAAAGGTAACATTTCCATTTTTTTTAAGAAACTAACATAATACGAGCTGATTGTGTAACGGTGACCCGTTCAAACCAAAAGAAAATATTACATAATATGTATTCTCTCATATATCTTCGGATCACCGGGGTGATCCGTCGTTTATTCTGCGTATACAACACTTCAAATCGTTTCCAAATTCCAGCATTTGTTCAATAACTTATAATGTTTAAGTGAATTAGTCAACAAACCTTGTAGAAGGGAAAAAAAATATGTAATTTTGAGATTTTTAAATGGTGACCCGTCACGTGCACATATGAACACTGATTAGTATGCTGATTGCATGCATTTGATTAGTATGCGAATCGCATGCATTTTTGCTAAAACGTATGTCCGATAAACATAGGCAGTTTAAATATTCACTGAAGAATAAACTCTGCAAAGTAACGCGGACATGACAGGATATTCACTTGTTCATCTTGCGGGATTTGCGAGAAGAACTGAAAACAACGCCATCTGACTTTCATCATCTCCGTTTCAACGCAGTCTACTGCACGTCTGCACCCCCTCGCACAAAACTGAAGTGCTCGTTGGCCGTGGCAAGGATAGGGGCATCTTTTTCAAAGACAAATTGTCGTTGTGCAACGTTTAGGTCTATTACATAATGATTATGAATTTTGGTGTTGTCAATTTCATTACTTCAATAATTAACTGCATGCATATTCGCGCAGTTATATAGACTATATACACATTAGTTATTGACAAGTTCTTTTGTTACATATATTATAACGTTTTCCGTGAAATAAACATAAAATACATGGGTCTTATTGTTCAAACATGTGTGCTAATATTTTTGAATGATTCTCAGTAAATTTTACTTCCCTTATTAGTAATAATCTGCACTCGCATGTTACACAATCAGAGCTTCGAATTCCAAACGTTCCTATTTTAGACAATCTTATGCAAAATAAACGAGACACTCCAGCTCCCGCACCCTTCTCAATGTTGGTTAGTGATTGTTAGCACCGTTTCAGGCCTTTCTTTTCAATTTCGACTTCAAATCGCAACATTGGATGGGGGAAGGGGGGATAAGCCTTACAAAATCATGATGGCACGTTTTATTTTGCAAGAGATTGTAGATTCTATCTCAACGACACTGATTTTTACGGGCGTGAACTGTTGCGTGTCGCGACAAGACGTTTCTTCATGTTCCATTGAAGCGAACAATACAGTTACAACACGCTCTCTTCTGTTACGACCATATGGAAACCAGGCTTAAATTAAAGCAATAAAGGGTCACTTTTTTCTGAGATACCCTGTACAGACGCACTATTGGTGTTAGATTTCATGAGGCGATGAATATGTTTCACTGCTTGTTCAATGATGTTAAGGGACCATGTCGATGTAAAAAATACTAAGAAGTAACCACTCACCTATACCACTGAAATGGGTGAAATATTTCTGAAGCTTCTACTTATGCACTTGCGATGCTTGTTGATTCACATAAATATACAATATGAAAAGTATAAAATGGCTTTTGAGGCTGTGGGTCTTCTAAAAAAATACCACAGAGTATATAGTGAATGTTTCGCTGTCTAATAACTGCGAACAATCGTATCTGCATGGTCTGCCATGGATATCTTGGTATACGTATTATCAATAATTGCAAAGAACAAAGATATCTTTTTACAGATACTTACTAGATCTTTCAAGTGCTTATTTTTACACTATTTCAAGTGCTTAGTTTACACTATTTCTTTCTGATTGCATTGTGAATATCTTGCTTCGAAATCATAATAAGCGTATGAGTTTTAGTTTTGAAAGGACAGCTTTAAATTAGCTGTAGATAGGTTTTAAGAAAACGGAACAGTATAAGAGGACAGTCCTTTATTAACTATGGCAATATGCATATGCCTGCGGCATGCCTGCGGCATGCCTGCGCTATCATTGTTTACAGCTGTTGATGCATACATTTTTTTTGTGATTATTTGGTTGACTGCTACATATCGCATGCATGTATCAAGATGTGAACCAGGCTTATAATACGAATTCGAAGTCAGAATATATATTTTATCCTGTATTTATTCAAACTAAGTTTTACTTGGATTGACTTTGAGTTTGTAAAAACAAGAATTGCCAAGATCAGAGCTACAGGATCTGCGATCCTGCTAGGATAATTGCGAAGATATTTTGATTTGTAAATAGACTGCCACCAATTAATCGCCCTACAAGTAGACTCAGTTTATTCAATGTAGTCAGTATGGCTTGCACATACCTTGTCTGGATTAGTGCATGTGTTTCGAAATAACTTTGGTTGTTGTGAAACTTTGTTTGTGCGACCTCCGATACGCCGGTAAGGCCTGTTTTATACGTCGAATTTTGGTCGCGTCGAATGCAATTAAGACAATAGATAATGAGATGATAAACCTCATTAAGCTTCATTATCTATTGTTTGAATTGCATTCGACTCGACCGAAATTCGACGTATAAAACAGGCCTAACTATGGCTGGGTTTACACTGTAACGGATAACTTGCCGTAGCGACGTGAAAAGCACCTATCCGTACCTTTTAGGAACGCTATTTCCAGAGGAATTATTGCAACAGAGAGATGTTGTTTCGCTCAGCTTCTGAAAGTTGTACATTCCGTATCAGATAGGTGCTTTTTCGCACCGCTACGGAAAGCTATCATGGTATGCCGCTACAGAAAGCTATCTGACGTAGCCTATATGTCAATACACCCTTTTGATAATTACGTCATTTGACCTGGGAGCCTCGCTCTCATGAATCGTGAGCCAATCACCTTGCGTAATTTACTAATGAGAACGAGGCTCCAAGACCAAAAGGCATGTGTGACGTAATTATCGAAAGG